TAAGTAAAGAGTGGTTGTACAAATGCCACTCACCAGCTTGCACTGAGCTATAGTCAAGTCCTCCAGAACCTCATCGATTATCCTGTCCGCCACAGCTGCAGTGACAGACAGCTTGATCTCACTGAGATGGGAGAAAGGAGAGTTAGAGCCAGTGCAGAACCAGGGTGCAGGATACAGTGCACACCCTTCAGCCATGGGGCTCACACAGTGAGGGGAGAAGCGAAGAGGCAGTCATGTCAACAGCAGCTAGGTCTCATCCTGACCGCCCAGCAGTATAGCAACAGACTTTCTATAGGGGAGATGGGAAACAAGAGACCAGGCATCAGGGTTAAACAGGACTCCTGGCCGGTCTGGCATGCATGGGCTGTATCCTGCAGGCACAGCTCATATAGTCTGTTACCTGTGTCATGCCAGTCCCCAAGAGCTCTAGTCATGGACCCACCCCACTGTGCTGATCACAGAACAAAGATGGTCATCACCTCAAAGAGGTCGCAATCCCCGTGCAATCTGACCTTGCCTCTAGTCACTCCTGCCCCACACCTCCTGGGGGAGGCTGACACCTCTATCTGCAGTAGCTCAGCACCATGCTGGAACTGCAAACAAGGGCAGTGCTCAGCCCCACAGGCTCTAGCTCAATGGGGCTGGGCTGGGCTGGGCTGGGTTGGGGGGAGGGAACAGCAGTGGTGCTATGATGCCTTTCCAAATCCATAGGGACTTGATTGCAATCTAGGACTTCCAAGCTTATTTTGACCATCCTGGACCACTGACGAAGGCAGGCAGGCAGGCAGTGCTCATGTATTCGTCCCATGATCAAGGAAGTACAGCATCCCTTGGAAGAACAGGCACCTGCCCTTCTGCAGCTTAGGCACGCACAGAAGGGCACCAATCGTACCCAGGACTACTTGCACTGCAGAAGAGAGAGCTGCCACAGCCCAGGCAGCAGCGAGTGGGCAGCCCACATGGGGAGGCTGCCTGAATGCAATCTGCTTGTGCTGAGGCTCCTGGAGAGCTGCCGCCTTCACGCTGCCTGCTGTCAGCTCCCAGTGATAGGGCACAGGCTGATCTCCCAACAGGGATGGGGAGAAGCGCTGTTGATCCCCATGGCCCAAGTCCTGGGGCAAGGAAAGCCCTGGAGCCCTGGGCTTCACTTCCTGTATGACTGGGGAGGAAGTGCAAAGGGACCTGGCTCTCCCTGAACAGAGCTGCCCTGCAACCAAGCCTATTAGGGAACTCAGCTGTGTCTCAGGGCATAGGTACAAAACTGAGCCAGGGTCCTCAGTTCCAGCTTTGCCACTGGGGAGGAAGAGACTCTACTGCAAATACAAAGAGGGTGCACCACATCCCACGGGGCTCCTGCTTGTAAGGAACTAGCCAGGCTAGTTTCTTACAAGCAGGAATTAGAGAGAAGGAGAGGGGGGCATCTATTCTCTACACAAGCTGCCAGCTCCATATCTAAAGAAAAGCCTGTTTTAAATGGAATACCCTCAAAATGGTACCTTAGGCTGCCAGAACATTTGGCATACAGGGCTGAGGGCTTAAAACCCTGGGCTCTACTCAAAGCTCTGCCCCAGACTTGCACCTGAGGGAACATGCCTTTGCCTTGGATTCCCCATCTGTAAAATGGGCCTGATGCTCCTGCATTTCAATGGGGCTCTGAGCTATAGATTATTAAAAATAGGCCTCTACATTTCAGAGGAAAACAAGGTTATAGAGATCCAGAAACTATCTGCCTGTCCAGTGTGCAACTCCACAAATGTCATTTATGCGTGGCTGTTACCATATTTAATTATACTATGATCCCTCCACAGGCCCCACACCACGGCCCATCCCTGTTTCATTTGCAGAGCTCTATGTCATAATAAAGGGACTATATTTGAACTGTTGTAATCTGGATCTTTATTTAAGTGCACTGCATTCAATGCTGTTGCTTGCAGCCATGTGGGCCATTGTGCACTCAGAGCTGCTGTGCAATCCCCAAACACTTGGAGCTTTCTGGAAACTTCCTGAGGTCACCCTCCAATCACCCCACCACAACTCCTGTTTGGACCTGCAGGTTGCTATAGCCCCCAGTGATCAGGGAACCCAACCATATCTCCAAGACCTGGTATAAGCCCTATTTGCAGCCTTGCCCACTAGAACAGTGGTGCTCAACTTATGGCCTGTGGGCTGGATTTGGCCCACAGCTCCCCACTGGTCCAGAAATTTGGTGATGGGGAAATGGTGACAAATTAATTGCCACAGCACAGCCCAAAGCCATGGCAATGGATGCAGCCACCATTCCTTCACCATCACATTTCTGAGCCCATGGGAAGCCCCATGATCTGAGTGACATGGCCCTGCACACCAAATCACACCAGTGAACAGGGTGGGTCTGCACCTGTGGACCTATTCTGCATGCCAACCTTGCACTGGATCAAGCCCATGGACCAACCCTGTGCTGTATCCAGCACAAAGACTGGCCCCTCAGGGCCAGACAGGCTAAGCACTACTCTAGAGGCTCCCATGTTCAGAGGAGGAAGTGTGAGAGGAAGAGATCAGCCTTTATGCACACACCCCTCCCCCAACTTGCCCTCAAGAATGACTGCTAAAAGTCACTGGGAGCAATACGTGGATCAAAGACGTTATGTGTGATACTGAGTAAGCTCAGGTCTCACTGACTTCACTAGGAGATGCAGCTGCTCACTACCCTCAGGCATGACCCCTTCCTTATCAAAGGCTGGAAGGCAGACATGAGAGATAAGCTCTGGCCTGTGCAGCTCTACCACAGAAGGGAGGTCACAGAATGCATGCTCCAGGAGAACAGGATTTCACTTTGCTTGCACTGAGGACAGGAAATACTTTGCACAGAGACAGCGAGAGGTAGAAGGCATACATGCGAGCCTGCCACAGTGCAAGTGAAGTGCTGCTACAGAGCAGCTTATCCCAGCAAACATATGCCTCTCTACCTTGCTCCCAGGGCTCCCATCGTCACCATGTAGGGTAAGTCCTCACAGGATCTGTGGAAACCTGCCTCATCAGTGATATCTGTGCACCCAATTTTCCCTTCCCAGCTGCCTACTCATGGAGCAGCATCCTGATCTGAGCCCTGCAGTTAGATCATGCCTTTTTTCAAATGGAGGATAGGGCAGAAGGAACCCATCACACAGTCAGCCATGCTGCTTACAGCTGATGAGGTGCATGGTGAACTGGGCTAGTCAAGGGAAAAAGCGTGGAGTGTGCAGGGGAAGCTCTGCATGATTAAGCCACAAGCAGGAAGGCTGGTGCCAGGAAGCAAGCCTGCCCTCTGTGTGACAGGCTACCACAGCAGCAGCTGCAAATCCCAATAGAAGCTACTACTGCACCATGCAGACAACTGCATCTCCGTTTCAACCCTGCTGAGCTGGGCTTGCTCACAACCCCCTGGGGCAAGGACTCTCTTTTTGGTAGACGAGTCAAGTAAGAGCTCTACTATCTTTGTGGCAGAGCTGACTCCCGGCCCAGTCTTGCATTTTCTGTCAAGGATAATGTAAAATTGGGACAAGATGACAGCAGTTCAGGTGCACGAGGTACTCACCCTGCCAGGATTTCTTCCCGCATACACTTTGCTTGCCCATCAGCCTTTTGTTTGAGGCACCACTGCCCTGAGCTCTCTCCAACCAACACCCAGTGCTTAGGCAAAGTACTTTACTGCTCCAGTGCTAAAGTCAAATATTTGCCAGGCTCTGGAAAGAGCAGAAGACAAGGCCTCCACTTGGTGACAGAAGCTGCATGTAACTCAGTGAGCTGTGACACAGGGCAGCCCTTCAGCCAGCTTCCTATTTGCCATGTGCTTGCCTAGCCTACAAACCATGGAGCAGACCCAGTGATCTAAAAAACTTGGAGACAGGAGCTGCTTCCCCTCCTCACAAAATAATTCTGGCTGATGACACTTCCTGTGCTCAGGAGGTGTTGTCAGATGCAGACTGTGCAGTCCTGAGGCAGATACAGACAGCCAGAGACAAGTGGAGGTGGCAGCACATTCAGAGAAAGGATAACAATATTTCACATCTCTCACACAGATCTTCTTGTCTTCTCTTAAAAGAGGTCCCAAATAACTCTCCTGCCCCATGCAGCTCTGCTCTTGGTCCCTTTCACCCCATGCACTTCCTAGACTCCTTTCCTGGTAGACACAGAGCCTGCTCTCTATGAAAGCAAGGGAGACACCCCAGATTTGCCTGGGTGTGCACAACTGCAGGTCTGGCCCTTGGTTGCCTTTCTCTGTGTTTTAGTGCCAACAGTCCAAGTTCCCAGCCACCCAACCGCTCCTCCAAAGACTCTCTCATCAAGCCAATCTTTGCTCTCCCATGCTTTGTCTTATTTAGGATATGCCTACACTGACTGCAGATCATGTAGGTACATCCAAGCTAGTTTTAAAGCTATGGTAGCACAGAGCTCATGGAGTGAGAGAATTCAGAGTTCCTCATTGCCTTGGCTGTAATCCTCAAAGGACTAGCTACTTTAAAGCTAGCTTGGATGTGTCTACACCAACTGTAGTCCCAGCTATGCCTGCAGGGTAGATATCCCCTTAAACTGCAAGCTCTTAGATGCAGGAAGCTCACCTGGTCTACACTTGTAGAAGGCTATGCAAATTCACAGCACCATAGAAATGGTTGATGGCAGCAGCAGTGTATGAACTTGCTGATATGTAGGAGAGAAATAAAGCATTGGCCAAGAAGATCCAGTTTATCCCTATCCCCTTTGCTCTGAGTACTGCATCTCAGCAGTTTACCATTCAGACAAGTGCAGCAGATGCTCCCTAGTTCTGGTGAGGCAACCATAACTGTTCACCAACAGGGATGTTTTTGTGGATTGTATTTGAAACATGTGACTACAGACATTATAAAAACTCAGGGTACGCACTTTAGCTTGTTGAACACATCAGTGACCAGCTGGTCTAGGATGACGCTCAGGTTGAGGTGGTCCTGAAGAATGACCCTTTCAGACATTGCGTTGATCAGCTGATCCCGAATGCCACTTTTCTGCAGGATTTTGGGACACAGATTCTGTGTGGTATCCAGTGTGGCCTGCATCAGCACCTGAAACATGAATAAAACCAGAGAAGAGACAGTGAACAAGGGTTGTGTTCGCATACATAGCTTGCTTTAATAAACAATCCATCTGTTACATGCCCAACTGCCACACACAAATATTGTTGTAGGATAGAATATTCCTTCAAAGCAAAAGCATCCCACATGCAGCCAATGGAGAAAGGACAGAGTGTGGATAAATGGAAACCGTATATTCTACCATATTATGATCCACCCATTGATTTGTATGGATTCAAGAAAGAACA